TCCTGCACACGGTAAGCCCTCAAGAAAAGGAAGCTGCGGTGATCATAGGCCACAGGTTTCTGTGCGGGTGGCTCCGTGTGAGGCAGGGATCAGGCATGAACGACCACATGGAGAGGTAAGAACAGAAGAAGTACCCAGTTCTTCCCAAGGGAGTCAGGGAGGATTCCACTGAGCAGGTGACCTTGGAACAGGGTCTTAAACTGCAAAAAAGAGTTTTCCAAACAGAGAAGAGAAAAGGGGGCTCTTCCAGTAAAGGGAAAGTGCATTCCAAAGCATCATAGATAGAAGCGAGGTACCAGAACACCCCCAAGAGAAGTGTGATCACGCCTTCACATTTGTGATTGCCTGTTTTCTCCTTGTTAAATTAAACTGTATACCTGGGGAGGGTGGTTCAGAGAGAGGGAATGTTCTCAGCATCTTGGAGAACAGAGGATTAGACCTGATGAACTTTGAACTCCAAAATCCTGCTCTCCTATCATCCTTTGGGCTCCTGTTCACCACACAACTTATAATCAGGTAGGACCATCCTCAGCATCTGATCATCACAGCTGAACATGGCCTCTGTCAATAACTGGCTTCTGGGGAATGAAGACATACTTGAAGGTTGGACTCCATGTTTCCCTGGTGCTGTGAGCGCCCTCTGCTGGTTCACTGCTTCACCATCGGCCTCGTTAAACCCTGACAGCTCCAGCTTTGGAAGCCTGGCCTGCGGGGAAAGGCCCTAATGCTTAAAAGGTCATCACATTCATTTGAGAGTACTGAGACTCAGGGGAAATGGTTGGCTCAAGGTGGAACAGTAACCTGTGACTATAACCCAGGGTTGCTGGGCTCTCGGCCAGTGAGTGCTTGTGTCACTGCACTGATAGGCCACAGCTGCCACAATCACACAACTCGACCCAAGCCAGCCTCCCAAGGCTGACTCCCTGGGCTGCTGCTTCCAGTGGAGAATCTGAGGTCATAGTCCAGGGCAAGACTTTCAGTCGTTCTGCTCCTAGAGAGGGCGCAGCAATGAGTTCCATCAGGGCCCCAGGCAGGGGGACAGGCACAGGCATCTGCCTGAGGCTCCCTAACTCACTTGCTCACTATGTGAGCCTAGCAGAGTCACTTTGCCCCCTGAGCCTTAGCTTCTTCATCTGTAAAATTGGATCATCACATGCTAAGGAGTTTTTTTTTTAAGAATATATAGAAAAAAATACTGTAATGTGCACTCTCTATCTGCAGAGTTGCTTTTTTGTTTGTTTGTTTCGCCAAAGCCTAAAAATGTAGAAGACAGGAGAGGTTAGGAATATGGGCTCTGGGAGGCGTATCTGTGATTCCTAGCTGTGTGACCTTGGACGGGCCACTTCACATCCCTGAATCTCCATCTTCTCCTCTAGAAAATGCAGGTTATGCTAGAATGTTCCTCCAAGGGTTGTTCTGAGGATTGAATGTGCACACAGAAGGCACTTGGGGCAATGCCTAGCCTGTGTGGCTCAGGTTCAGTGATGATGGCTTCCCTTTCCGTGGTTAAGACTGTTGTCATTGTCATCCTCTTAATTAGGGGGCTGTGGAAGATGTTTCTGAACAGGTGGCCCTAAGATTGATTCTGCCCTCTTTCCTGCTTCCCTTCTCACTCTGATCCTCCCTCCCCATCCCCTTCCATCCTCGCCAACCTGACCATGAGAGAAAAAGAGTGTGAATTTGACAAGCAAGTAAGAATGGTCCCAAGAAGAGGCTGGGAAGGGGCATCCACAGAGCCTGGGCTGGATCACAATGGTTCCTGACTGTCCACCCCTAGAGGTGGAGTCAGGACAGAATGCTCTGGCCTTAGCCATGAGCCCCTGGCTCTCTCAGTGCTGCCTGTGCAGCCAGCCCCTGCAGCTATGGCCCTGGCAGGGTGGACAAGGCCAGCAGAGAACTTCTGTGCATCTCTGCTACTCCCATCCTGCCCCATCTAGGAGTCTGGCGAAATGGGGCTTCTCACACCTCCCTCCAGCCCCCTCCTCCTCAGGCACAGAGGGAAGCAGGTACATTCAGTTCATACTTGGCATTTGGCCCAAACCACAGACATCTGCAGGCCTGACAGTGCCTTCCTGCTGTCAGCCAGGAGGAAACGCAGTCCTGGGATGTCTCCGTACCTAAGGCTGCCCCAGACAACTGGGCAGTGTTTCTAGGAAGCGAGGTTCCCAGCCCTTTTCTGGGAGTCTACACCCGCTGTTCTCTACCAGCAGTCCCATTTCTCTTTTCTGACATGCCTTTTTGGTCATTTGCACAGTTCCTGAGCCCCTGCTGTTTGCAGGCACCATGAGAGTCATTTCTACATTGCTCTCCTCCACTGGGAATCCTTGCCTCAGTCCTGTGCGGAAGGTATTGTCAGCCCTGTTTGAAAATGAGGAAAGTTGGCCGGGCGCAGTGACTCAACCCTGTAATCCCAGCACTTTGGGAGGCTGAGGAGAGAGGATTGCCTGAGCCCAGGGTTTCAAGACCAGCCTCGGCAACTTGGTGAGACCTCGTCTCTACAATAAGTCAAAAAATTAGTTGGGGGTAGTAGCGTGCACCTGTAGTTCCGGCTACTTGGAAGACTGAGGTAGAAGGATCGCCAGAGCCCAGCAGGTCGACACCGCGGTGACTGTGAGCATGCCACTGCACTCCAGCCTGGGCGACAGAGTGAGACTCCAACTCAAAAAAAAAAGAAAAAGAGGAAAGTTTAAGGCCCAGAGTGATAAAGACACTTTCCCAGAGACACACAGCTTAACTAGAACAGAAAGATCTGTCCAGGGAAGATGTCCTAGTGCAGCTGAAGTTTAAGCTGGCGCTTGGAATCTGAATTAGATTTTGAGGAGGTGCTGGCATTCCAGGAGGAGAAACAGCCCAAGCAAAGGGGTGCCGAAGGGGATGTCTTCCTGGTCATGAGATGATGGGGAGGCAGCTTCAATGTGAAAGCAGAGTGAATGGAGCAGGTAGCCCGGCCAAGGAGGCAGTCCCCAGCTACAGCCCCAGGCCAGGACACCCCCATCTCTTACCTAATGGCTATACCCACCTTTCATCTGCTCTCCCAGCCGCAGATCAAGAATTATTCTTGGCACTGGTAGGTTTCTCTCTGGTTTGTTGTTGTTGGTGGTGGTGGTGGTGGTTTTTTTTTTAAGTTGGAGTCTCACCTATAAACCAGGCTGGAGCGCAGTGGCACACGCACAGTCACCACAGCCTCGACCTGCTGGACTCAGATAATCCTTCCACCTCAGCCTTCCAATAACTGAAACCACAGGTGCATGCCACCACACCTGGCTAATTTTTTTATTTATTATAGAAACAAGGTCTTGCCAAGTTGCCTAGGCTGGTCTCAAACCCCTGGGCTCAGGCCTCCTCTCGCCTCCACCTCCCAAAGTGCTGGGATTACAGGTGTGGGCCACCATACCCAGCAGGTTCTTCATCCTCTATATCAGTTATGGAGGAAATGTCTCATTGTGTTCCTTAAATGAAATTAGGCCGGCTCAGAGTTCACCATCCTCCCTAGCTGGTAGGAAGTTCTATCTCAGTCATTACTGGGGTGGCCTCCCCACGCACTGCAGTGACCGACATCCCAGGGATGTTTCAAGAAACCACAGCTGAGATCACCCCAGCCCCGCCTGGGCCCCGCCTCCAGTTCTGCTGCCTCTGTGCCCTCTGTAGGGTGGGAGCCAAGTGGGGAACTGCAGAAACCCCAGAGGCTAATAAGACCCAGCCCTCTCTACATACCTCAACATGGTTCCCAGGTACCAATCATGGAACCCATGGACCCTGTTGCCTCCCCAGGCCTGAAGACCCCTCACACCCACACCTCCCTGACTGAGAGACCACCACTGCCCCCCTTCAAGGTGCTCCAGATTTCCCAGACCAAAGACCTTGAAGGATCGCTCCTCCAGGAACTTGACCTTTGGTCCTACAGCCAAATTCCTCCCAAGGGACCATAGGTCTGCCCTGACTCTCTGAAAAGGAGAGGGGGGAAAGGGGGGAAAATCACAAATAAGCATCTCACACATTGTCTCGTCCCATACCACACTCCCCTTATAGACTGAATCTCTTTCTGGTCCTTGAATGCGCCCTGCGTTCTCTCACCTCCAAGCCCATCCACATCTCTTCCTCCTCCCCGGGGCACCCCACCCTTCTTCCCTCATCCCAAAGCCACTCACCGCTACGCCTCTTTCACATTTCATCACCGATGTCCCTTCCTGAGAACCTTCCTGGCTCCTCTACCTCTTTAGGGGTGCACCTTGCCTGAGTCCCCTCACACAGGCCACCTATGATACCATTGCCTTTTTTTCTTACCTACATTCCCTAGAAGATGCGTGTCGTTCATTGTATTCCCAGGGCCACACACGTGGCCTGTGCATAGTAAGTATTTCGTAAACACGGTTGAACGAATGAATGGTTCAGCCCCTGAATCAGACTCACGTGAAAGATGGACAACCGTGTTGCCTTCCCTCAGCACACTGGGCCTGTCCAGAACCCTTCCGCCTTCCCTCCCCTGGAGTTCCCCACCCACAGAGCAGGAATGAGAGGGAAGTCATTCATCTGGGCACATCCCAAGCAGAGAACACTCAGACCCTGTGTTTGGGATCCAGAACACTCCAAGTTTGCAGTCTGCTCAGACGGGGGGACAGATGGCTGGACAGTGGACAGCTGGGTAAGGACGGTAGGCAGCTTGGCAGGATGGAAATAGCAGTGAACCAAGCATTGGGAGTCCTGGGCTTGGAGCCTATTCCTTCCACGAGTTTGCTGCACGCATCGGTCTGGGTTCTCTGGTTGCCAGCAACAGAAGAGGACTCTGAGTAACTTGGGCAGAAAAGATATTGATTTAAGACTTTGGGGGTATGACACAGAAATGACAGATATCTAAGCATGATTCCGGCAGGGCACCGGGGGAAAAGAAAGGTGACCCCCAAAAGGAAATCAGGTTTCTGTTAACTGCCTGAAGACAACTGTTGACACACTGTGTGGCCTGAGGCTAGTCACTTAGCCTCTCTGTGCCTCAGTTTCCCCATCTGGATGTTCTGAAGCTAGCCTCTCTCCTCCATTTACATCTCCAGTTTGCATTTTGCTGAGAAAACTTCCTGCCCTGGTCTCAGATGGCACCCGCCCCATCCAGACACCTTGGGAATGAATTACAAGGGAGCTAGGTGAGTGAGCGTGTGTGTGGTGTGTGTGCCCCCCACCACCACCACTACCACAGCCCGACCCCTGAGGCAGCCAATCCTTCTCCACCCTCCACCTGCATGCTCTGGGGTATGTGACTCATTTGCATGAGATGGTCAACCTGATTATTCCTTTTCCATGAAACCAGCATGCCCTCTGCCCCTGCGTGCTGGACGTGCTGATGGAAACCTGGGTAGCACCATGCCCTCTTCCTGGTTGTGGCTTGGCGGTCTTCTCTAGGTTGGGAAGCTCCTAGCCAGAGTCTTCCCTCCCAGAGCCCCCAAAGCTACCAACCCCAAGACTCTGCCACCATCATTCATGTGGCCTTTCACATGCACATCAACAAGCTCAGCACCCTGTGCTGAACTCAAGGATGCAGAGGTGGTTGAGGGGTGAGGATGCTTCCAAGTCACTAGGAAGTCGGTGGGGAGGCAGGTGCATCAGCAGCTAACTATAACCGTAGCTAACTATAGCAACAGAGACAAGTACAAGACAGAAGGACATATAAGCCAGGTGTGTGGGGGAGCCCAGAGATGGGAGAGCTCGGAGCTTCCTGGGATATCAGGGAGTGCTCCATGGAGGAGGTACTGCCTAAGTTGCACACTGGAAGATGAGAAAGATTTGGCAGGAGGGGAAAAGGGTATTCTAGGCTGAGGGAACAGCATGGACAGACAGGTTTGATCCAGCAAATGAAGATGTCGGGGGGCGGGGTCAGAGCTTTAGGAGGGTGGGAAGAGCTGCATGTTGACCATGAGTGGCGTTTCGGTGGCACCAGGAGCAGGATCCAGGGTAGAGGGCATATCAGCCTGCAGTGGGCCCAACCTCACACCCAGGAATCCTGGCTCAGCACCCCAGTTCCTCCCTGCTCCTCACCACCTTGGGAGCAGGCGCAGGCTCCTCTGCCTTCTCATCAAACCTGCAGCCTGTTCTCAGCTTAAGTTCTGGGCAACGCTGGCACCCACCCCAAGAGGTGTCCTAACAGCAACCAGCCACCACCTGTCCTGCCCCCTAGATAAAGGGAGGTGCCTATTAGGTCACTTCTCCCAGCCCCCAGCAGTGTCTGTTCCATGTCTTCCCCTCTGGCCATGAGTTCATGGTAGACAGACTGGGTGGTCCATGTGGGTTTCCAGCCCCCAGCACTGTTGAACAGCTGCACAAGGTGAGGCCTCAGGCCCAGAGGGAAGAAGGGATTGCCCAAAGTCAGGAACAGAGTGTGAAAGAGTAGTTTGCTTCATAGCAGCACTCTTCACAAAAACCAAAAGGTGGAAATAAGCCAAACGTCCAACTGATGAATAGGTCAATAAAATAGCCAAGCCTATAGTGGAATAAAAAGGCATAAAAAGGAATGAGGTACTGATCCATGCTACTGACTTGGGTAAGCCTAGAAAACATGCTAAGTGAAAGAAACCAGACACAAAAGGCTACATATTTTGTGGTCCCGTTTATATGAAGTATCCAGAATAGGAAATCCATAGAGACAGAAAGCAATGTCGTGGCTGCCAGGGGCTGGGGGGAGGGGGAGGACGGAGAGTGACTCCTTAATGAGTACAGGGTTTCCTTTTGGGGTGAAAAAAATATTCTGGAACCAGATAATGATGGTGGTTGCACAGCATTATGCATGTATTAAATGCCACCAAATTGTATGCTTTAAAATGGTTGGACGGGTGAATTGTATGCTATGTGAATTGTACCACAGTGAAGAGTAGTTTGAGACCAGATCAGATACTACCAGCTGGGTCTCATGTCCATTCCTCAAACATGTGCTGCGGCCCCCACCCCCGCTTCCTGTTAGAGCCCTCCCCAGCCCAGGCTAGATGTGGGAGAGCCAGTGCAGGGATGCCCATGGTCAAGTGGAAGAGGGCTGCCCCACGCAGAAGGCAGGATTCCTGTTTCTAGGCTACTTCATGCTTCTTCGACCCCCGACCTGCTTCTTCCTCCCACTGACCCCCCACTTCCGATCGGTGCCAAATGTTCCAGACATCTTGGGCCTTCAGCCTTGCTCTCGCTATTTTCTCCACCCAAAAAGTCCTTTTCCCTCAAAACCCCTCATTCCACCTAGAAACTTCTTTTAAGAATCAGCTCCTTAGAGATCTTTTCCTCCCTTCAAACTGAGCTGAACCTTCCCCAGAGTGTCACGCACATGCCTGATTAAAGCAGGTGTCAGGTTGCACTCGTGTTTGCAGGTCTGTCTCCTAGAGAAGATGGGGAGCCTGCAGGGAGGGGCCCGGATGGTTCATCACTGTGTCCCTGGGGCGGCTCTGGGCCTGGCTCATAGAGGGTGCTCAGCCGACGCTTGTCGAACAAGGCAGTGGCCTGGGGAAGGTTCTTTCCCTCTGGGACACCCTCCACAGTGAAGTAGGGGCAGGCTGGGTGATCTCCAAGGCCCTTCCTCTCTGGGGTCGTCTGGTCCTAAGGGCAGCAGTGGGAGGCCAGCGCTGCAAGTTGTTGCCTGTTGTCGCAGGTCAGTCCTCCGCTCCTGTTGTCCAGTGATAGAAGCAGGGAAGGAGAAAGGAGGAACCTACTAGCACACCACAGGCAGCTGCAGCTGCTCTTGGTGGGAGGGAGGTGGGCAGGGCCCAGAGACTGGGCTTTCCATCCTGTCTGAACGGACCATCTCTCTGGAAATCTCTTGAAACCTCCCCTTCCCTGAGGGCCGAGACATGCGGGTTTGGGGTGGGGTTCCCTGGAGCCCCTCAGCCACAAGACAGAGCGACTCTGGGTCCGTTTTCTTCTGCAGCCAAGAGGTGCTACTCTTTCTGCCTTTCTGATGATGAAATTAGTCATTTTCTAGGAAGCTTATTTATAGAGTCCGCTGCACACATGCAGCACTGAGCTATTCTGAACACGGCTTGGGGCCTGGGAGGCTTAAGGTGTGAAAGCAGGTGCGAGCCACACGTGGGTCCCCGTCCAGCAGTATCTAGAAACCTTACCTTTCTGTACCCAGCCAGGGGTCGCCCCTCATGGGCTGCCCTTCAGCTGGGGTGCTCTTTAGGCAAAAGAAAGAAAAAGGTTAGGATTGGGAGGTTGGTGATAGGTGTTTTCTCAAACCTGATTCCTGTGGCTACCAACACAATCTACAACCTGGGCAATTCAGATCACTTTTCTCTGCCTCCGTTTCCCCCTCTGTAAAATGAGAGGCCTTCTAGATTTGTGATTCTCTGACTTCTCTGGACAGCAAATATAGAGGACGGTTCCACGCAGCTTAACAGAGACCTCCCGCAGAGCAGCTCAGATTGTGGCCATGTTTAAGGTTACTAATGTTTTTTTTGTTCAATAATGTCAGGACAGCATTCATTTATTCCACAAGTGGTTCTTTGGTGAACACCCTACTACGAGCCAGGCACTGTGCTTGGCTCTGAAGACACAACAGTCAATAAAACGGAAACAGTGGTCCCTGCCCTCATGTAGCCCACAGTCTAATGGTCAAGGCAGATGTTAAAATAATGGTGTAAATTAAAATGGTGCTTCCAGCTGTGTCAAAGATATACAGAGTAAAAAGCGCTGGGAAGTAGAGCAGGAGGAGCTCTCCAGGCAGAAAGAAGAGCATGTGCAAAAGCACTGTGAAAGAAAGAACCTTTCCGGTGTGACTGGAGCACAGACATTGAAGGGAAGAAGGCCATGGGTTAGGGTTGGAGGGATAAGTGGACCAAACCACACAAGATCTAGTGAATTATGTCCAAGGAGTTTTATCTTCTTTCAAAGTACAATAGGGTGACATGAAGGTATTTTGACGTCTTGGGGAGTCAAGGAAGGTTATGAGATAAATGTTGAGTTTTGAGAAACTGATTCTAGCTCAGTCCCCCCTATCCAGTTGCACAGGTCGTAAACTGCACAACTTATGTGAGGCAGATACATTGGAGCTATGGGGAGAATGTTTTGGAGGCCAGCCTGGGAAGATGCTGAGACCAGTTGAGATGCTGCTAGGCAAGAGATGATGGTGACTTGAACCAAGCTGGGGACGGAGAAAACTTGAGGGACTCTGGAGACATTTAAAGAGAGCATTTAAAGTTAGGCATTTACCTTGAAGGTAGTGACCCCCACCCACCAACACACACAGGAGAGCTGGACTCTGGGAATTGAGATTCTCAGGCACCCTGCCAATGGGAGTGAGGAAGGAATAAAGTCATGCAATGCCAGCTGAGAGCAGAAATATCAGCACCAGCAGTTCCAGGCTCCAGGCCCTCTGGAATGCATTTTCAGTGCACAGGCAAGAGGATCATATTGCCCCAACCTGGTTTGTGTGTCCAGCCATAGGTCAGTCAGCTCCTGCCAAGGGTCAGAGATATAAAGAGGAGACGGGGCCACTGGAGCCCACGTCTGCATTTCTGGCCATTCCCAGAGTGGGAGAAGCCCTGTGTCCTGAGAGGTCACCCTCAGCCACTTTCTTTTTTTCCTTTTAATTTTTTATTTTAAAGATGTGGGGTACAATTCAGGGTTAAGTATACAGATGTTCATTATGCAGGTACCCTTGCTGATAAGGTGTGCCCTCCCTCCTCCGGCAGAATCCCACTACTGTCAATCCCACCCCTGCCCCCGGCAATTTCCCACTACTGACAATCCTTTTCTTATAGTATTACGATAATTGTTCAAGGTCTGCTTATGAGTGAGAACATGTGATACTCGGTTCTTTGTTTCTGTGAAAGACCACTCAGTATGATAGACTCTAAGTCCATCCAAGTTGTTGCACAGTTCATAATTTTGTCCTTTATGACTGCATAATATTCCATCATGTATATTATCACATTTTTTTTATCCAGTCCTCTCTCGATGGGCAGCACAGTTGGTTCCATGTTTCTGCTATTGTGAACAATGCTGCAATAAACTGCAGGTCACTTTCTGTTGCCTGAAGCACAGGGCACTTGCACGTCTTGGGGAGCCAAAAACAGGACTGTGGGTTACCCAGAACCCTCTTCTTGTTCACCCATGGTTCAAAACCACAGGAACTAAGAGCAGAATTGCACAGCGGTGAGAGCATGAGCCTGGAGGCCTAGACCATCAGTTCAAACCCAGCTCCACCCTAATGTGCTGTGTGGCCTTGGGCAAGTTACTTAACCTTTCTGAGTTGTTTAAAGAGGCTTAATTCATAGGGTTATCATGAGAACTTAATTTGGGAAAGTCTGCAAAGTGCTTTATACATAGTAAGCCCTCCTTCTGTGGTAGAGATGATCGCAGTAGTGGTGGTGGTTGTGATGATGATGGTTGTGATGATACTGCTGTGGCTGACTCCGCATGGAAGACATCTGAAGACTCTGCTCCATGGCCGGACATGGCGGCTCACGCCTGTAATCTCAGTACTTTGGAAGGCGGAGGCGAGAGGATTGCCTGAACCCAGGGGTTTGAGACCAGCCTGGGCAACATGGCTAGACCTCATCTCTACAATATATTTTTTTTTAAATTAGCTGGGCGTGGTGGTGCATGCCTGTGGTTCCAGCTACTTTAAGGCTAAGGTGGAAGGATCACCTGAACCCAACCAGTCGAGGCTGCAGTGGCCATGAGCATGCCACTGCACTCCAGCCTGGGCGACAGAGTGAGGCTCAGGCTCAAAAAAGAAAAAAATAAAATAAAACTCTGCTCCCGCTTCTGCAGCTTTTCCCTCAATAGGTTGGTTGATAGGTTGGTGTTTTCCTCAGGTCCCCCCAGTGGGGTGAGGTTATTCAAAGGGATGCAGAGAACAGGAGGGGACCCTTGTTATCTTTGCTCAGCTCCACTGCATCATCCTCCCTTTTTTGTCCTGCTGCAGGAGTGAGAGCGAGGACCACGCTGCTGATGACTCCGAGGGAGGGACCCTGGACATGTGCTGTAGCGAGAGGCTGCCGGGTGAGTGGTCCCAGTACCCAGGTGCCCCCTAGCTCCACGTGGAGACAGCAGCCCGGCCAGTGCTGGGGCTGGAATGTGTTTGGTGAGCTGTGAACTCGCCAGAGAGAAACCACACACCTGCAAGGCAGCCGAGGGCATGCTAGGAAGAAGGGAGAAGGGTGAAACACCGGGGGCGTCCCAGGGCTGACAGTGACATGGCCACGGACTGGGGATGTGGCGAGCGTGGGGTGGGGGCCATGGAAAACTTTCTGACCACCCTGTTGAGAAACCCAGTGTGAGCGTGAAGCCGTGTGCTTGGATCCAGCTGCCTATGCTTGTAATGGGGGCCTGACTTCATGAACCACAGGCCATTGCAGCCACCACAGAGACATTACCAAAGTGGTGGCAACATGTCCCAGTTGTAAACCCAGTGCCCTGGTCAAAGGAATGAAGGGACAAGGTGGGAGCGGTGGTTAACTTTTTGTTTCTTTTTGCAAAAGCGTTCATTGGGGTTTTTTTCCTTTTTAGAACAAAAATTCATTGTAGAAATATTAGAAAATAAATATAAGTGGAAAAAATGAGCATAATCCTATAACAGCATATATTTTCACCTCTCCTTCCAAATATTTTGTTTAAAAACAGCCTTTTGCACTTTGAAATCTCACACCTGTAGCTTGTCAGAAACTTTATGATTGGCAAGGGACCTTAGAACGGTCTTCACGTGACACTCTTTAAGGTAAACCTTGGAAATAACAAGGTATGACTAAAAAGAGGTGACTGCAAAATAAGGCCAGGCACAGTGGCTCACACCTATAATTCTAGCACTTTAGGAGGCCGAGGTGAGAGGATTGCCGGAGCTCACGGGTTCAAGACCAGCCTGGCCAACTTGGTGAGACCTCATCTCTACATTAATTCAAAAAACTAGCCAGACATGGTGGTGCACGCCTGTAGTTCCAGCTACTTAGAAGACTGAGGCAGAAGGATCGCCTGAGCCCAGCAGTTTGAGGCTGCAGTAGCCGTGAGTGTGCCACTGCACTCCAGCCTGGGTGACAGAGTGAGACTCCGACTCAAAATAATAATAATAAGCAATGTTTTAGTCACACCTGGTGTCAGTGCCCAGCACCTGTGGCGTGGGCCCTTTCATGTAGTTCATGCCGTGACCAGTAGGGAGTTCCATTGCTTAAAGCACATTGGACGGCCTATTGAGATAGTCTAGGATGGACACCACCTCACAGGAGGGGTGGTCGTGGAGACCAGAATTGGCTAGCTTGTTCTCTGAAGAGATGTGAGAGCTGTCTGAATGTCTAAAAGGCTGTTCTGTGGAAGGGATGGCAGAACCATTCTGTGTATCTTAGGATGATATAAGCCCAATACATAGAAATTACAGACAGGTCTGTTGGGACACGGAACTCTTTCTGATTCTTGAAAGTGGTCCAGTCATAGAGCTTAACAATTCCAGAGAGAGAGGATGAGTGTTCCATCACTGGAGGCATTCAAGTGTTGGCCAGATACACATTGGAGAGGAAATTTCCACGGTGGGTGGGAGGTCCAGATGACATCAAAAGTCCCTTCCAACTGTCAAACAGTTGTGTGATTCAGATATGAGTCATAGAATTCGGAGATGATTCCACAATCAGGGATGGCCCCACTGGTTAGAAAAAATTTCACAGATAATAGGACATGACGAATAGGAGTCCAGAGAGTAGCATAGTGTGGAGGAAGAAAGCTTGGGATTTGGCATTTAAGTCTGGCCGTTCTCCTGCAGGCTGTGTGTTTATGGACAAGTCATTTAACCTTGCTGGACTTCCAGTCTCTCATCTTTAAATGGCAAACAACAGTAATATGAATATTTATCCTCACAAGGGTCCAAGAGGAGTAAATAAGTATAATCACTCAGTCACTGGGTGCTAGAGACATAGTGGTAAGTAAGACAGACCTAGTCCCTGCCCTAATGGAAGTTCATGGACAAGTTCTACTTTGAGCTGCCTCTGGAAAGTGGAATGAAGTCACAGCAGAAAGGCTACAGTGATAAGCATAATATATTGAATTCCAACATTCTCTCCCATTTCTCCCCCAAAAGCCTACAACCAGTGTAGAGTGGAAGAGGAGTTTTGGTCATCTTCATTGGAGTTGGCGCGTGGCCTTTTTTGCGCAGTACCCTGGGAAGCCAGTGTCTTTTGCTATCCCCCATCTTACAGACGAACGGACCAAGGCCCAGGGAGGTCAGGCAGCCTACTTTAGCTGGTAGAAGTCTCTCTCTGGAGCCCTTGTCCTCAACATACCTTGTTCTACCTCTGTTTCACCACGGGGCCATCACCATCTTCTGGCAACCTGTGGACCAAGGCAGGAAGAGTATGTTTGCACCAGGAAGAAGTTTGGAGGCTGGGCACAGTGGCTCAAGCCTATAATCCCAGCACTTTGGGAGGCCAAAACAAGACGATTACCTGAGTCCAGGGGTTCGAGACCAGCCTGGGCAACTTGGCGAGACCTGGTTTCTACAATAAGTCAAAAAAAAATTAGCTAGTCATGGTGGCGTGGACTACTTGGAAGGCTGAGATGGAAGGATCACCTGAACCCAGCAGGTAGAGACCGCAGTGGCTGTGAGCATGCCACTGCACTCCAGCCTAGGTGACAGACTGAGACTCCAACTCAAAAAAAAAAAAAAAAAAGCCTGGATAAAGTGGGCAGTGTCGCCATGACTGTCTCTTGTCTGTGTCTTTGCTCTGGGAAGCCCTGCCTGCAAGGGCCAGGCAAGTTATGGGGCCCACTAGACTCCCACGAGCCATCCTCATGTGTATTGCAGTAATTATCTGTCTCCCTCATGGGAATGCAGCTCTAAAGGCAAGTTCCTCTCTGTTTCATCTCTGTCCTCCATGTCTAACATTTATTCATCTTTTCATTCTCACTACTGATTGAGCACCTGCATGTGCTGAATACTGTTATAAGTAATCAATTGTGCTCCAGACTGAGCAAATGTCCCACCCTCACAGGACAGTATTGTGTGCTGGTCAGGAGAAGGGACTCTGGACGCTGGCTTGGCTCTGCCACCTACCAGTGATCGTGGGCAAGCTACTTACCCTCTCTGGGTCTGCTGTTTCCAATATGGCAAGGGAAGGGCAGTATTCACTACCATGTAGCATCGTTGGAGGATTCACTGAATTAGCAGAGCTAGGTCTGGCATGGTGGCTTATGCCCATAATCCCAGCACTTTGGAAGGCTGAGGCGAGAGGATTGCTTGAGGCTGGGAGTTTGAGACAACCATGGGCAACATAGTTGGACCCTATCTCTATTTTAAAAAATTAAAATTAAAAAAAACAATTAGCAGAGAGTTTAGAACAGTGCCTGGCATGTAGTGGGTGCTGTTTGGCATTTGCCATTAAGGGAAAGATAGACTATAAATAAAATAAATAAGCAAAATATATAGTATGGCATATAGTGGTAAGTGCAGTGGGGAAAACGGAAACCAAGAAGAGGAGGCTGAGAAAGGACTGGGCGTGGTTTGGCACAGTGAATAGGTAGACCCAGAACCCAGGTATGGAGTAGCCTTCCACAGATGTCTGTCAACCAAAGCCACTAACTATACTGCAGCTTGGACGCACAAGGAAACAGGGATGTAGAGGCCAGGAGAGTTGGGGTGCAGAGCCCTTAGAACCCACAGGCGCTGCAAGCAATTGCATAATGCCAGTGTAAAAATACAGCCCTCCAGCACTCTCTTACCCTCCCGGCTGTCTTCACCACTGGGCAAGACGGAGTGAGGGCCAGCCATGCCTGGTGACTCATTTGTTCCCACACACACCTCCAGACGGCACGGCCAGCACTCCCAGCCATGGTCACCCAGACCTTAGCCGGCACCAGGCAGGTCATATATATCATTCTCTCAGGTGGTGCTTTCTGGGAAGGAAGCATCCTCAAGCATCGCCGACACCCCCGGGGAGCCCCCCAGTACCCCAGAGCCAGGCACGCTGGCTCACCCCCGCACACAGCACCCCCACGTGTCCACGCACTCATGTTCTCACTTATCACAGCCGCGTGCTCCCATGCATGCATGCACAAACCCACGCACGTGTGCACAGACCCACATACAGTCACCCAAGCACGGGGCCTGCCTCTGTCTCACACAGCCCTGCAGGGGCGGACTCACACACCTGCGTGTCTTCCTCTCTTGCACACTCCGCTGTCTCAGCCCCATTGCAACATCCACCTGTGTCCACAGCACGTGCATCCATAGATGGACAAGTGTGCTTGCTCTCGTGCCCTCTTTAGTCTTTCTCCCTCACCCACAGCTGCACCCCCTTTCACACATATGCACAAAGATCAGCAGGCACGTGCCTTCCCACCCTCTGCATTCTCCGTCCTCTTCCCAGACCTGTGATCACCCCCAGCTCCCAGGTACTGTGGGGGCACGGAGTTTCCACCTGGCCACCTTCCCCACCCCTTGCACTAGCATGCACATCTGTTTGACTTCTCCCACACACACACAGCCTTTTTCACATGGTCATTTTCTCTTCCACTCTCCCTTTCTTGCACGCAGTCACCCAAACACGTTGGTACTTTCAAACTCACACTCTTGGCTGTGGTGATGAGTTTCTGCAGTCCCAGCTACTCAGGGAGGCTGAGGCGAGAGGATCGCTTGAGCCCAGGAGGTCAAGGCTGCAGTGAGTTGTGATTGTCATACCACCACACTCCAGCCTGGGCAACAGAGCGAGACCCTGTTTCCAAAAATTAAATATAAAAAAAAAATGGTAGCCAGGCCCAGTGGCTCAAGCCTGTAATCCCAGCACCTTGGGAGGCCAAGGTGAGAGGATTGCTGAGCCCATGGGTTCAAGACCTGCCTGGGCAACTTGGAGAGACCTCATCTCTACAATAAATCAAAAAATTAGCCAGGTGTGGTAGAGCGCACCTATAGCTCTGGCTACTTGGAAGGGTAAGATGCAAGGTTTGCCTGAGCCCAGTGGGTTGATGCTGGGGTGGTCATGAGCTTGCCATTGCATTCCAGACTGGGCGACAGAGCGAGACTCCAA